GATGCCAGAGTTGATACTTACCTTATTTGTCAACCTGGGTTCACAACAACACAACAGAAATATTAACTGTTCAGGAGATTATCGCCTGATGAGGTCCTGTCACATTTTCCATGACAAAGATAGACTTTAACTCTCAGTCATGAAAGACAACGATAGCCGAATAGTCACCCTCAGCTGTCTGGGAGAGTAACTGAATTATTCAGTAAGGTCAAAGAAGTGCAGCTGGCAGAAGGCCGAGGCCATGCTTTGATACCAGGTCCTCAAATGTGGCATTACTTTCACTCCAAGCACGTGCCCTGCTAGTGTTTTACTTAGTGCAGGTCACAATCAAATTTATTTTCATTTATGAGAAAAACCTTCTCTTTGCATGCCATCATTGCATGATTAAAAGCTTGAAACCACCAGAAGTTTAGAACCGGTTTCAAAAGGGACTTTTTTTTGCATAAAAGTCTATATGAAATGTAGATACTCTTGTCTTAAATTATATATATCTGAAACTTCCTACCTGAGTGGGCATATCATTTTGTAAATTGTCTTTATTTACATTAAAAACATGACCCTGTTCTGAAAGTACAGTATAGAAAAACGTTAAGATTCATTAAAGCACTGCAAAAAAGTTTATTAAACGGGCTTTTGTATGTGCAATTAGACGAAGGGTGTGATATTGCGTCACTGAACGTGACATGTGAACTATGTTTTGCTTAAAATGTTTTTACAGCTAGCACAGAGCTTCTTTTCATCAATGTCACCCCACTGATTTAGTTACACAAGATAAATAATCCACAGCAGGTTGTGAGGTCAGACCAGCTGAGAAGTCAGAAAACACCAGCAGGTGGGGAAATCCTCACCCCAAGGTTTTGTAAGTGTTAAAGAATAGACCTTAACCAATGGAGGTATCCCTGGAATCTCTTGTGGTGTAGGTGAAAAAGAAAGAACAAGATTCTGAATAATAGATATGTGTGAATTAAAAATGATACACAAGCACAGCCAAGGTCAGGTGATATAGACAAAAACATTGTGATTTTACACTGTGTTTTTTTTTTTTTTTTTTAATATTTTTTTTTTTTTTTTTTAATTGATTCTATATTGCACTCGGGCATTTTACGCTCTCCGGGCAGACAGCTATTTAAAACGTCCCTTCACAGCACCATTAACGTCAGCTGGTGTCAGCGGTGTAATGCGGCACATAAACATTCTCTCTCGCTCTTCACTGCGAGGCATTTCCGTCACACTAAACGTATCATTTACTCAAATGTCACCGATTCTTTTAATTACACAATTGGAAATATATATTTTCTAGTTTAAAAATGTATATAAATATACCTTGTTCTCCTCGTCTTGGTAACGTAGCCGCTTCAGTTTTCAAGTGTGCGTTTTTCGGTGTGGGCAGTTCACTGATTGGTCGACAGCTTTTTGTCACCTTAAACGTTCTAGAAGGGAAGGAGGGACAATGACAGTTTGTGTGAATGTAAACATGCTGCTTTACTGTATCATTTAACAGCGGCAGACTGTACGTAAAAAGAGAAAGGAAAGGGAGAATTGGGTTCATTATGTCATAAAAATTAAATACGCAGATTAGCTTGTGATTTCTGTAGAATATTAATATTTTTTAAATTATTAAATAAACACAATTACTCTAATCACTGTACATCGAATTAATTCAGGTTAATATCGGGTTAAGGGATTTTTTTTGGTTCACTCTCTCAGTTTCCATACACATGTGAAAAAGTTATTCTTAGCTTTTCTTCATAGTGAGAATGTAAAAGCTGCATCAGTAACCTCAGCAATGTTGTTCCTCTGCTATGGTTGTGATGTAGAGTTACATCACAGGCCATAAACTTGTGCAAAGAAAGGAGAGATTTGGATCATAGAAAGAGAGAGAGAGAGAATGTCTAAAACAGAGGTTAATGAACAAATGGAGAATGTGTTTTTGGAAAAAAAATATGTGGATTATTCATGTAAAGCTAAGGTCTCTTGATTTAATGACCTGCTACTATTCTTTTTCTATTTGTTTTTTCAGTGTAAGATTTTAATAAAATTCATTTGAATACTGCACTGCATTAAAAAAAAAAATTGCCCAAAACACTTTCTGAACGAAGTGCAACAGTTCTATTACTGGAAAGTGTAACTGCTAAACTGATACACCGTGGCCATGGTGCATTGCAGACCAAGATGTCTGTGACTTAGACTGGAAAATATGAAATGTGAAAGCATAGCAACTGGTGAATGTGATGCCCGTTGAGCTTTCATAGACTGTGCAAGATGTAAGTTACGTGGAAACTGGTCTTGTGCACCTGTTGGTATCCATTTAATGACATCAGTCAGATTTATCTGACTTTGTGCAGGCAGAGCCACGGGGTCAACACCATGTGATGATCTAAAACAATGCTGAGAAGATTAATCAAGGGGGAAATAGAGGATTTGGAAGTGTATACCAAATATTGTCAACTTATTATTAATTTATTCTTCTATCGCTTAAGCTCTCATATGGTCAGTTCATACTGGCCAAAAAGCTAGGCCCCAGTCTGCATGTCTTGAACAGTAGAAAGAACAATGTGCTACTCTACTATTTTTCTCACATGAATTACTAGTAAAAAGGAAGGAAATTGAAGAAAGTGTCTCTATAGTGCAAGTACAAAAAAGGTTTGTATACAATGGTTTATTATATGGCTTTTTTTTACATAGGCACCTGAGCATACCAAATGCCAGCAATTAACCTCACGATGTCAGCGTTTTGCCATTTTTGGGAGGTGTGAGCTTACTCTTATTTTAGCCAGCTCGTCCTTTTGTAATTGTCTGTTTTCTTTCAGAAAAACATGGCCACACTGTGCATTCTAACAACATGGTGGATTAATTTTTTTATTAAATGTAGGATCGAAAAGATGACGCACATTTTCCCTAGAAGGGCTAAATGTCAAAGAAGGACAAAAACAAGCTAACACCATTCTAGGACATTACACAAGTCCCCCCACTGTTCTTGGAGTTTGTTCAAGGAACAGTGTGTAGGTTGGCTACTTTCTACTCAGTCAGTCTTGGAGAACAATGCCTTCCTTTTGCCTCAGAGGACAAAGAGGTTAGACTGTGTGTCCTTGCGGGGTAATGTCACAAGATCCGAAAAAAGACCATATGTTTTAGAAACTCTACCATACACCTTCTGTACTCACAAGATCCCTTCAGTACAGCAACATAATTCATTTGACTGTAGTTATTTTGCAGCACTGTATGAAATGTAAACAATCTAAAGGCATGTTTATTTTTTGTGTCACAAATAACTGTTACTGTCAAAACTGTCACAACAACATAAGCAAAATAATTGATGACTGTTAAATTAAAGTATATTTTGTCATTACAAATGCAACAGGAAGTCAGATCATAAGTCATGACTCAATTACCAGACCATTAAATTAGAAGAACAAAGACATATTTACAATATTAACTACAATCTTTTAAAATAATATGTTAAGAAAACATTTTTAAAAACATCTTTTAAAAGCACATTAGTTTTAAAGGACCTGATGGAGCACTGAATAAGTCGGTGGAAACCTGGATCTTAGTCAGTGTAGTTATTCAGACATATCAGACTCAAACAGGCCATTAAGCAAAGCCAGGATAGAGCAGAACATCTGACGTCATCAGAGCTTCTTGTTAGTTAAAAAACATTGAATAGTGTTTTCATTAATTAAAGCCAAAACATCCTCTCCCCATACACCCACCCATCCATCCGCTCAATTGTCTAGACTGTTCTCCACCTGTTAGGCACACTGACGCTGAATTAGTATAGAACTTGACTGGCATCTGTAGGCATTTTTCTAGCTCACCAAGAGCTCTGAGAACAAAAGCCACTAGGAAACCAAACGGCTGCAGTGAAAACACATAGTGCATCGAGCTCTTACATAACAGGCTGTCCAGGATATTACTGAGGCAATAGAGTTACAGGGTAACAAACAAGGAAGCAGAATTTTAATTAAAGATGACGAGTTATTTTTATAATCAAACAGCTGCAACTAAAAATGCTTTAATATTCTCAAAAAAACAACATATCAGTTTCACAAACGTTTACATGCAATGTTGTTTAAGATTTAAATTAATCCAAAATGATAACAAAAGTATATAATATAATAATAATTTAAAAAAATAAATGCAAAAGTCAACAGAAGAAAATAAACTTTTAAACATGACAATCAAAACACTGGTATTTAGATTACATTAAGTCATACAAGACTGAATGACACAAAGTGTTCCTTTGTATAAGCTCCATTTTGTATTTTTAGCCTATACCCAAGTAAAGTCAGAATCCTCAAATGACTAATTTGTATGACTAATGGCTATATATATATATATTTATATTATCCTTTTTTTTAAGCAGTTAAGTAAATTAAAAACTTGTTCTAATTTACCATGACAACCATACCCAGAGAAGACAGAGGAGAGTCAGAACTGTGATTTTGCATAGATATGATTCCATGCTCTTAGAGGAACCTCTTTAAAAAGCAATTCATGTTAAAAACGTGGAATGTACTTGATTGAGACTATATCTCTACCTCAAAAATATCAGCAATGGCATAAAATTATGTTATTTTTGTAAAACTACAATGTTCTGTCGCCAAACCTAAACTATATAGAGACAATTGGTAAACAAAAGGATCAGGATAGTTGGGTCATTCATTTTGTAACAAAACTTGGATACCCATGATGGTAGAAGAGCTCCACCTGCCGAAACCCGGGATTGAACCAGGGACCTTCAGATCTTCAGTCTGACGCTCTCCCAACTGAGCTATTTCGGCTCGGTAGCTACGCGTATCCCGCACTCACATCATTGCCCGCTGGGGGTCACTGTTTGACACCCAGAATAAAGAAATGTGTTCCACGTTCAAGGATCAAATATATGAAAAGTAATTACTAATTCTCACTGCCAGAAATATCAGCATCACCCCTGTGGAATTGACTAAAGTAGAGGTTGTGTCGTGACGAACAAGGCAATGTTCTACTCAAAGTGCTACTTAGGTTTAAGGCAAGTCTTTATTAAAAATCCTTCTTAGTAACACTGCTCTCCACTCCAGCTCAGGGAGTACAAAAAAAGTTGCCGAAACCCGGGATTGAACCAGGGACCTTCAGATCTTCAGTCTGACGCTCTCCCAACTGAGCTATTTCGGCTCAGTAGTGCACCTATCCCGCACTCACATCATTGCCCGCTGGGGGTCACTGTTTGAACCTAGAATACAGAAATGTGTTCCACGGTCAAGGTTCAAATATATGAAAAGTAATTACTAATTCTCACTGCCAGAAGACAAAAAAAAAAAATAGCCGAAACACGGGTTTGAACAAGGGAGCCTGGGATCTTCAGTCTGACGCTCTCCCAACTGAGCTATTTCGGCTGTGATACTATCACACATCCTGTATTCCCACACTGCTCCACTTGAGGTCGCTGTCTGGTCAAGCAAAGTACGGCTTATGTCTTTTGTCATTTTCATCATTTACGCCTTACATATATGTCACCGGTAAGTGATACAGTTGCAGCAAGTTCCATATAGATAAAATTGCACTCACTAATTAATATCCTTTGTTCAACAAGAATATCAGTTTTGTAGACATTTAAGTCTTTTAACTGCCGGTTGAGTTTTCAAGTAAAATTCCAACCAAAGTCAGTTAGATATCAATGTGGAAACACATGCAGCATCGTGTATTTCACCGTCTCTAGGAGCTGCGTCTGGGAGACAGCCGGTCCCAGCGGTACCTTAGGTTCCGGTCCCGACAAAACGTCAGTTGTTTTGTTGTCTACACTCGGCGCTCGTGAGCTTGTCCGCCATTGTTGACAAACTTATCCGCTAACTTCAGGAAGTTGACGTCGGAATAACCTCGTCGCTGATTGGATGTTGCGGTCCGGTGCCGCCTGGAAAGCTCAACTTTTCCAACCGTTGCCTAAAATGCTTTTTCACTTAATCCTCCTTCATTGGTGTCGTCTCATTTACATTGATTGTGTATGTGTAACTGTTGCTTAATTCGTGCCTATTGCTTTTGTTGTATTAGCACACATTTGTTTCGATTTTAAATCAATTCACGATGCATCATATGTATGCATCTATATTTCCCCACTGAAACCCCAATTTTGATTGTAGGTTATGTTATTGGTATGGAAGAATCTGTGGACTCCCACCACGTCAGTATTGGTAAAGGTGAATCTAGAGTCGCATTGCATTTCAATTCATACCCTTAAGCTGAGTTAAATTATCAATCTTATATTTATTGTAAATTGAGTGGAGGTTGTTTTGGATAAATGTTTTTCCTCCTTTCACCTGGATGAAACTTTATATGATGAAGTAGCACAATCTACTGTAAGAACCCAACATGATCGTAATGCTGTTTGCTTTTGAACCACAAGCTTAAGTTATGTACAAATCACAATATGTATTTAAGCAATAGATCGATAAAATTGTTGCTGAATTATTTAAGCCAGCAAGCTTTTACATCCCACGTACATGACCTCCCTGTTCCTATACTGCAGAGGGTTGGAGCAACTCCTGCCCACACATCACAATAGCCCACATATTTGAGCCTGTTCTCACAGCATTCCTCAACAGCTTTTATTCTTATGTGCTTTACAGAAGAAAAAGCAACTAAACCAAGAAGCAGCTCCATAGAAGGAGTGTGCCTGCATTAATGCTACACTGGGGTTTAAAATGTACCCACATGTTGGCCCACACATTTCATCATCCCCGGTCATACACTCAAGGATTAGCCCACTGGAGCTGATGTATTTACAAACACTTTCCACCTGTCCGTCACTCAGGCCTTTTTCTACCTGGTATTTGTCCAACTTAACTCTCCACCTACCACAGAAAAACTGTGAAAACTGTTTACAAGTTCATTCACTGTGTGGCAGAGAAATCTTTCTGCTCAGGAAAGAACAGCTACACAACCAGGACGATGAGGAGGGCCCATGACATTGTCAAAGACAATCTACACCCAAAACACAGTATTTTCAAAGGAAGTAGAGGAATGTGAAACCAAAGAGATACCGTACATGCTCAGCTTCTACCCACAGACCACTGCTCTCCAAGACTAAACACCTACCATTCTCCAAGCCCACACTGACCGCAAACCATTGTTCAAATTCATTTTTAGGATTAAAAGATATATAATGCATATCTGTTTATTTATAAACCAACAACAATTGGTTTTGGAGTCATTAACAAAGAGTCAACACAGCACATGTAGACTTTGAAAATCTTATTTATTTGTTCTATTTTTGTTTTTTTTTAGCTTGGACGATAATACAATCACAAAAAACACTATAAAATCATATAAAGTTAGCAAATGATGACTGTCCACAGTAGTACATATGCACATGTGTGAGTGTGTGGCATGTGTTTTTACATTCAGGATTGCTTTGCAAGTGTGGGACAGAACTCACATGGCCTCTGCACTGGGCCCCACTGTACTGTAATTACAGCTCTTAAGCAGTGAACACTAACAGCAAGTACAACAAAGGTGACAGCAAACACTACGGTCGTATTAACATTTTCACCAAACAGTCAGTGCTAACCTATAGTGACAGTTACTAGCCTGCGTTTGCTCGCCTGTGTCGGTGCATGCAGGTGTAGATGAGCCAGGTGTCTGGAAGATAACAGGCACAGGCAGGCAGCACAACTAACACTTAAGTTATCCAGAAAATCATCTACAATCTCATCAAAACAGCATTCCCTTTGCACATGGTATTCTGACCATTACATACACCAGGTGCATGGATTTAAGCTAAGAAAAGAAAAATCAGTGGCATTATTTGGGCTTAGCCTGCTCTGAACAACAATTGTATAATATAACAAAAGATTTACATTAAATACTACCAAAGTATTTAAGACATGGGTTAGATTTTCCAAGTATTGTTGGTCATGTGAGGTATTAATACAAGGTAAGCATGGACTTTTCCAAGCATGCTGCCAAGCGTAGCACTGTCGCTGGGAATCAGCTGAGGACATGGACTTTCTCTGAAAACATGGTTACCAGCTCTTTATTCTCACAATTCTATACAGAATGACTTCACATCACAGAACAAATTTAATTAATCTGGACCTTCACTCATGACTTCTAGCCCTCCGACAAAGATAGATGGTGCACCTGGCTCTAAAACAAGGAAACAGTAGCCCAGCTTCAGGCAAAAAAACCCCAAAAGAGTACATTTTTCAGTGCAGGTGAATTCTTTTTCACAAATTGACCAAAGTTTACATTCTAGAGTGACCTAAAATTGACAATGTTGAGTTTTAAAATGGTCAGACTGTTATCCCACCGGCTCACTGCTGCTGTTCTACCACTGCCTTGTTTGGCAGTTTTTGTTAAAGGTTTAAATTTGATCAAATGAATTCAGACCACTGAATAGAAATTCTGAAAATCTTCTACACGTTGGAATATAGAATCATAGGTCTTTTAAATGTCTTCTTTGTAAAGAAACAAGTCGAAACCAATCAAATCATTTGTTTTCTTTGTTCAGTGAGAGTGTGTGTTGATATGAATCACTAACCTCGGTCTTTCTCTTCTCTGCTTTAAGGTTTTGAGCCTTCAGAGCTATTCACACAACTGGGCTAAATACACAGTAAAAGGGACATAATTGTAATTCTAATACTATGTTCTAATTTACCTTGTATCTCTTTTAGCACACATTTTTGAGTCTAAGGCTGGTTGTGTCCAACAGGTGGCAGCGTAGGTGGGTCTCCAGACATACTAAAAATATAAACCATATTTTATTTTTGATGAGTGTGAGCCACATAGGTTTCTGCTAAATGTGTGTGTTCTAGAGTGACACTCCAACTCCTTTTATGTAAATGTAGTCACAAATGTTGTTTTGGGCATTTTTGTCATTTTAAATAACAAATGTGGAATCCAGCCACCCACTGGGGAGAGGTTAGTGATCTTGCCTTACAATAACAGGATTAGCAGTTTGATCCCTGGGAGGTAACTGATGATTTTGTTTACTTGTTCTCCAAATGTGAGTGTGCCTTTTGATGCACTGTTCAACTGTCCAGGATGCACCCGTCCGATGTCTGTTGTTGATTGGCTCCAGCTCACCCCACAACATAAGCAGTAAGAGATGAATGCATCAAACGAGGTATATTTAGTCTAAAAAAATGACAAGAACACTGTTACCATGTGAAGTAAAACTAAAGCAAAAGTGCATTTCAGGTTTCACATTTCCAAATATACTGCCTCCATTAGGTCTTTGTAGAACATATGAACATCATTATGTACTAAACAGTCCGAGTACATTGGTGTGCATGTGTTTAAAGAAGAGGCAAATCACATCATTTGCTGGTTAGGGTGAATTCTTCAGAGCAGTTATGTAAGACACATAGCTCCGTCTGTAAACAGACTTCAGGACCTGACCCTGTGCAGATCACATACACTCATGTGTTTGCTGTTGTAGACCTCACTTCAGTTGCAAAGGCTCTGCATGTGACAGTGACCACAGCGACTGGTTCCCCTGCTGCCTCAAGTGTTTGACATGGACCTGCTGCTCTCTATGCTGCCCAGGCTGCTGGTGGTTACAACAGAACCTCTCCCAGAGGTAAAAACGTGTTTGTCACACTTTCCGCTTACAGTAGTAAGTTGTGTTGGTCTCACAGGGCCTCCGCCTGGCAACGGTCAGGACCTTCACTGGCTCCCAGTCTCACCTTACGGCTATTTTTCCTGTTCTCCACCCAGGAGTTGTGTATAACCGGGCCTCGGGGCGATGGGTCCACTTGGAGTAGAGACACCACCCTTTTCTTCACCTTGGAACGGAGGGCACGGCGCAGCTTCTGTCGGGTGAAAGCATAGAGGAGAGGGTGGGAGATTGTGGTTCCATAAGCCAGTGCTAGGAACCAGAGGCGCAGGCTGATGAGGGCATCGCTGGGACCGATGCCTAAAATAAGCACATTAATCACAGAGAGTGGGGCCCAGCAAACCAGATAGGTGCTGATGATGATGAGTGACATCCTGAAGACTCGCTTCTGCCGCTCTCGCCTGTCCCTATGTCGCCGCACTGCCCTCCTCAAAGCGATGATCGCAGAGACAGAGGCCTGAACGCCCACTGGAGGTAAGGGTGTGGCTGCAGAAATGACCAGTGGGGCTGAAGAAGAAAGGGCAGGAGGGGAGGTTGCAGTGGGTGTGGGTGAAGGAGAGGAAATAAGGGGAGGGTGGCTCAGCTGTTTGGTAACATTAACGTGACTTTGCCCTCCTTCCACGTCTTCACCGCTGTTCCCCGGGGGCTGCTCCCCTGCTCTCTTCTTTTTCTGTCTTTTGTGATGTCTATTGCAGGAAGCGCCCTTCAACCTCTGGCTCCTCTTCATGTGGGAGCCAATGCGGATGTTCAACGTCCTCAGTATTCTGGAGTAAGTGAAGAGCATGACTGCCACAGTGGTAAAGAAGACAGGCACCTGCAGCATCAGATGGTAACTCAAGCCCATGCCCGTGTGATAGCCCTGCCCACCGAGACAGAGGAGAGTCTGGTTATGCCATGCAGGCACAGCTGTGGCACTGTTGCTATGCAAGGCTAATGAAAAGGGGGGCACGTGCCCTTTCTGATCAGAGTCATCTCCTCCAGGCCACTCAACCTGCAGAAATGGAATAAAAAACACTGCCACCGAGGTTCCCCAAACAGCAGCCAGGAGCAGCGCTGCTCTGCGTGTCGTTAGCAGCCGGTTGGCTGGCCTGACTGAGATGTCATATCGGTCTAAGCTAATGACCAGGATGTTGATTGCCGTAGATATGCTGGCAAAGGTGACGGAGGCTTCGTGGAAGCAGCAGAGCAGGGCCAAGTTTGGACCTGGACTCAGCAGCACCATCACCAGCGTGAGAGGCAGACAGAGCACACACACCGCCACGTCCAGGACGTGCAGATTGACAGTCACCATGTTACTCACCGAGTCCACTAGATTGGACTGAGAACAATAGAGGACCAGTACGGTCAGGTTGCTGCTGAAACCCAACACTAGCTCCACCATGAGGAAGGCTGTGAGCGACACCTGAAAGCCCAGTGAGTACGGCATGTACCAGTACGAGGAGCCCCCTCCTTCTTCCAGCTCCTGCAGGTCTCCCATCCCCTCCAAGCTGGCCACCGTCCCGGCCCAGTCCGGACCCATTGTGTAGCCGTCAGTCTCCATGAAGCTCTACCAATCCTTTTGTATTGTTGCTGTCATTTTATGGATGAGCTCCCATGATGCACCAGGCTGAGCCTCCATGGTGCTGGGATGAAAAACAGCCTGATGACAGCACTGGAGAGAGAAGAACACAGAGCAGACAGTTGAGAAGTGACCTGAGCTGTAGGGATTTAAACACACATCACTAAAGTGGGCACACTTATAAATATGGATTTTGTTTAAAAATATTTATTTATTAGCCACAAAAGGAAAGCAAACATGGGTATTTTTACACTTGCTATCATTACAGAATGTATCCTAAAAGACTTGGACCTTGTAATAATTAGTGAACTATTACAACACGTGTCCACATGTTTTAATAAGGAAACATTTTGTCCTTTGGTGAGGTTTTTAGACTTGAGTGATCCATCCACCCATCTATAGACAAACATAAACACATTTGAATATCATCCTAGCATCTGCCGACCGAGCAGGTGCTTCATTATTCATCAGTTAGGCCTACAATCTGTCTCCTATCAAATTCCCTAGTCACCACTTTGGCTTAGTGACAGTCTGAGACCTCCACAGAAGCTGTCAGAACCACCAGCAGCAACAGTATCACTACAGCACAGCAGGGCTCAGGAGATTGGCAAATCGAACGTAACCAAGTAATCAGACCCAAAGGCAATTCAAGTGCTCTCCCAGTGGATCAGTAAAAACAACTCATTTGGCAACTCAAACTAAATTGGTCAAGATCTTGGCCCTGCTGAATAAAATATTGCTTTTGGGTAAAAGTCCATTATGAATGATCTGTTTCAAATTCAAAGACATTGTTCATTGTCTCGTTAGGTATTCACAAACCCTCAGAAGGAGGTTCGATCTGAGCATACTAAGAATACAAACCTGTTCCTTCAACAGCACTAAAATACCAAGGTTGTTAAATTGAATTGTAAGGTGACATCTTCAGGCATCCATGCACCATAAATCAGAATTGTCTTTGCCAACTACATAGATAAATAAAAACACATAGCAGCTAGAATTAGTAAACATTTCACAATGTAAGAGTTGACAAACATAAACACAAACACACAGGTTAACGACAGATTTGAATACCAACAGATTTTAAACCATGATTGAAAACATGAAGGTCCAAAACACAATGACAAATATTGCAATATCCACAGGGACCTGGATATGAATGATGTAGGTGATAAATATTAAATCTCATTAAACTATTTAGTACAATTAAAGACATGAAGACTGAAAACATGTCAGCATAATTGTTACTCTACATGCACCTCCAAAAAGGTGTAGATTTATTTATTCAATTGTTTTGGCCCTTTTTAGAATGATACAGTGGAGGGTATTTTACAAAGAAAAACAAAAAAAACAGAAGAAAGAAAAGCCTACCTTGATTTTTTTTTTTACTAACCCTTTGTCTTTACGCCAGGACATTCTAAAACATACCAGAACAAAATGTATCATAGCAGATACTGTAGATGACTCAACAGATTTACTTTCATTTCACTACAAAAAAATGAGTGCCATTAGCTCAGAACAGGCAGAAACTATTGGTACGCCCACGTACAGTCCAGAGGAGTCTGGGCCATAAGTGGTCCAACACGGACAAAAGCAAGCTCAACAAGGAGAATATATATATATATATATATATATTCAAGAGGTTTGCCAAAAGTTGATGATGCTGAGGAATACACACAGACACTCATCCACCATTACGATGCCAATAAGGCCATCTGATTAGAGCCGCACATTCTGCAGCAGGACGACGACACCAACTGCAAAGAAGAACAAGGAGTCCCAGCCGGATGTGATGACCTCAACAGCATTGATTGTATCTGGGTTGACATTACAGGACATGGATAATCAAAGGGCTTTGATCCAGCAAAAGTCCCTTGATTTGTCTCCCAAATATAGTAACCTCCAATCAGCTGATTACAGAACTCTGAGTCACACACCAATCACAGTCAATTATTACTCCTTCCTAATTCTTTTCTCCTCACCCTTTCTGATGAGGCATTCTGAATGAGACCAGAGGCAGCTGCTAGGTCTGATGGATTTAGACATCATTCTCATATAAATTGAGCTTTTATTCCCAACACAACAGCTCAGTACAACGTGTCAATGACAGATGACCATTTGAGCCCTGGAAAAATGATCCATTTTATCTTAATTGGTCTAAAAACCATTGAATCATTTATTTCCCACAAAAATGTCCCACAGACTGGTAGCGGTCCACAGACCAGAGGTTTGGGCCCTAAAGTATATACAACACATCCTTTATTCAATACTAACCTGAAAAAGTAGTGTAGCAACAAATGCTCAACGTCCTCAAGCTTTTCTTAAAAAAAAAAAAAAGTTAAAAATTGCATCAGTGTATATTTTATACTGTTCACCAATATTCTGTAGTAAATGAGGAGAGACACAAGGGCAAGAAATGATAATGTGCTGACTATAAAACCTGTGAAACAATTACAGCTAATCCAAATGCAAAGTAACGATGTAACGTTTGGCTGGAACTAAATATATTTTGAGATTTCTGGAAAAGACATGGATTTTGAATTAGGATCACTGCCTGTAAATAGAACATGTGAGCTTGGGGCTGGAGAGTGATTAAAGAGAGCGAGTGAGTGAGAACAGGAAGTAGACAAGAAAGCGAGCCAGCTGGGATGGTAAACAACATGTCCCAGAGTGCAGATGTGTCGCCTTTTTTCCGCTCCCAGGGTCTTACATCAGTGTTCTTCTCACCGTTACGGTTTCTAAGTTTCCTCTGGTTCCCAGCAGACCTCACCAGTCCCAAAATACTGTAAAAAACAAATTATATCTGCACAAGTTAGATTATTAAAAAAACAAATTAATTAATTTTTTTTGCTCCACATGACGCGTTTGTTTTTTATTATCATTTCAAGCAAAATCAAGATAATCGACTATATTTCAATGGCTACAGCTCGAGATGTCTTTCTGTTTTTCTACAGCAACTTGTGTTTGACGTCAAACCTACCAGTGGCAACCAGTGAGGAGTACACAACGGAAAAACCACCATGGAGATTCACTGTATTTACACTTGTACGTCTCATATTTTCTCTCAAACTCTGTGTTGTCGACTGCTACAACTACAGCACTAAGACAGTGAACAAGAATGGAAAAGATTGAAAATGGTAACAGGGAATATTTGCTATGCTTCAGCTCCTGACTGAGCACAAACGCCTAAAACTTTTTGTATTTGATTTCTTTTCCTCGATAGGTTTCAGCAAGTTTGCTGTTGCAAAAATATTTTAATCCAAAGTTTTATATTTCAGATTAAAGATCAGTAAGATGTGTAAACTGAAGTGCCATTACTGGCTCACTACTTTCTATTTTAACGACTAGGACAGGCATAGGCAAACTACGGCCTGGGGGCCAGATGTGGCCCATTTGGCTTTTTAATGCGGCCAGCCAGCCTTGTGAAAATTATATTATTAATTTATATTACCAATATATTTCTGCCTTTTACCTTTAAGGCCTACATTTCCCCATTAAATGGTGTAGACTAGGCTAAAAGCATTTTAGCATTTAGCCTTGCATGACTTTTACGTCATTTACGAACACTCTATCTGCTCCTGACCCGGCCCCCCGTCAAATTTTAGGACCATTGTGGCCCGCATGTCAAAAAGTACAAGCCCACACCTGAGAGTTTTACAGCAGGCAAGAAATAACAAATTAAATGTAATTTAATGCATAATTGACAATAATAAAACTGTATGGTCTCTCTTTTTACTCCAACATCGATAACTGGTAGCTGCCTGGAAAAGACAGGATGCATGTTTCTTTCAGAGAGAGCATTTAAAGCTTTCTCTATACATTAGCCTGAAGAAAACATGATGTTATTGTGCACATACATCTCTTTTCTGTTTTGTTCCCTACGTCATGTCTGGGACACGTGCATCATCACAATCTCCAACAGATAACACAGGGAGAAGGTGTTGATCACAGCTTCGCCAATCAAGAACGTAGGAAGAATACAACGCTGGGGGAACGGAGAACGACCGGCACTGAGGTGAATAACTGTGGGTTATTTATACACAGAAGAGCAGGAGGCTAACAGGGCGCAGGTGACACATAGAAGCAGAGGAGCAGGGAATCATGGGAGCGGGAAACAGGTGCACGCTGATGAGCTGCAGGTGAAGGTGATGAAGCTCATAACAAGAGAGGAGCTGGCAGTGGGGTGAGGAGGGGCAGTGGGGTGAGGAGGGGCAGTGGGGTGAGGAGGGGCAGGGCAGATTGTGGTGTGACAGATTCAGTATGATTCCAACACCAAACAGGAATGTGAACGTTGTGCAAATCTGTTTATTAGACTTCTATTTTTTTCTATTTCACAATAAATTCAACCAAATTATTGTTCATTTGTGGAGTAAATCCTAATCCAAACCATCCAATTTTCTGCAGCCTTTCTTTAGAGATTAATCCTGCTAACATCTGAATTTATTCAGTTTTTTTTATTGATATCTGTTCATTTCCATGGGACACATTAAACCACAAAGCATGAAGACATTCCAAGTATTTTGCTTTAACTCGTGACAGTAAAGTTGACCCTGTTCTTTACAGGCTGTTATTTTTAGTGGAAACTTTGAGTGGGATCAGATATGACTGAGAAGGTGTAGTGTTGCTTTAAGCCTAATGCTAAAGTCAGCATGAAATATTGTCTCTGTGACATTGCCTTTATGCAGGTATTTAAAAGACCACACAAACATCTTCATTTTCCATTTGATTTGGTCTCAAGGACCTTAAATTCATGAACCTCTCCTTCAGTACATCTACACTCCTGTCCTCTTCTTATTACCAGCTACTGTTATCTCTATATTCAAATGATTCAGAGCACTCTCTCTCTCATTATACAAAGTTATGCAGCAGAGTTGTCAGAAAATCAAATAAGTCTGTCATCTCAGCCAGGGGGAGCTCATGAGTATTTTTTTTTTTAACGCTGGCTACAACTGAGAGACTTTCTTGTTACTCTGCCGTCATATGACTGAGGAAATACAGTAATTGAATCAGAGACGATGTCTGATGTTTACATTTATTTTTTTACGTTATGGAGTTTTTTTATTTAATATTAAAACATTTTTTTTTTAATATAAAAGTCAATAATATTTAGGAAGATTTCATTTGCAGAAATAATTTTTAATAATTTGTAATTTATCACCCCCAAGGATGGGGGGAGCAGTGAACGACCAGCACTGAGGTGAATAACTGAGGGTTAAACACAGTAGCAGAGGACGGGGAATCAAGGGAGCGGGAAAAAGTTCTTTCCTTATGCAGTTTGAATGTTCCTTCTCTGTGTGCATGACTTTTCTTTCGATTTTTCCCACTGTGCAAACGCATGCAAATTGGTGATAAGGTCACACTGAATTGTATCTGAATGTTAATAATGTCTGCCTTTGCATATGGCTTTGGTATAAACTGTCAACCTGAAAACTACTTTCAGCTGAAGACTGATGGAACTGCCTTCCGCTCACCCTGAGATCTGTAACAGGATTAAGAAGACGGACGGATGGATCCACCATTGATCAACTTGTTCCACTTTCTCATAGCAACAACAGGAGCACAAGGCAGCATCAAAGCTCTGATGCTAAAGGGACATCGAGACAACGTGTAGCACTCTTTGTTACACAACAGCAGCGTGCAGAGTTGGAACCTAAAGAACAGGACGGCGAGAAGAACATTTACATCTATAGGTAGCTCAGACTCTATGGTGTAATCCCCCTCTATGGCCGACCTGTTTGTGGTTCCACGTGTGTCAGAACATAATGACTTATGCAATAACATCAATGCTTCTCAACTGTTTTCAGCTGGAGAGGTTAATAAAGAGCTGTCGTTTTATGAAGCTCCACGAACTGTTTATGTTAAACAGACAGGGCTATGTGTATGTTTTATATCTTAATTTAATCCATAGACATTTACGTAAAGATGGCTTTCAACTGCTCTGAGAACTGTAAAAGTAAATAAAATTATCACGAAAGTGAGTAAATTGCTTTGTTCAGTGGTAGCGCTACATGTACCTGGTTTATCAGTGAGTAGCAGTGTGGTTAAAGTTGCTGCGGCTACCATTCTCTCGGCACAGTTAGCAACAGGACACATGCTGAGACTGAGTGGTACTAGAACTGCGGCGGAACACGATGTCTCACTGGGTTCAATGAAACTGATTATGTCTCTACCAGAGGTTTTAATGTAAAATATGTCAAAGGTTGCGTACCGCGTTCCCCACTGACTGTGACTTCCTGCTGCTGTCTCACTATAAACACGGTAATTCTTAAGTGCATGACTCTGGTCTTTACATGAAAGAACAAAGTCCCACATTGAACTGCCATTTTCAGGATTAGCAACATGTGTGTTACCGTGATGTTGAGCTTTAGAGCACAATGGAGAGGGAAAAATGTAAATATATGGCTCTGAATGAGCAAATGGCAGGTACTGGTACTTGTATCCAGTACTGTAATGGTACTAGATACAGTGTTAGAGCAACCCACAACCAATCATAAAATGAAAATACACTAAGTCTAAGGAATAGGATGGAGCAGCTTGTCTCCCCCTCTGTGTGTACCCTGAGCCTCACCCTCCACCGTCTACTGCATAATACAACTAAGTTTCACAGTGGGAGTTGGAGCCAATCTAAGCTGACATTGATCAAAAGGCAAAGTACAGGCTCCTCATCCACCACAGGGTGCCTTTCTGCAACACTGATGCTGAGGTTTCCAGTGTAGAAAGTATTTACAGAAGACTTAAAAACCCTGAGAGTAGTGGTTTCTTTTATTTCGCACCTTTCCTGGTAAATCACAGAAATTGCTGCAAGTTCTCAAAAAATCAGTAACGTGCAATACAAGTTATACCCATAGTTCCAGAACCGTACAATCCACTGTTTGTGTTGGCTACTGGAAAGGAAATGTTTATATTTGCACACACAAATCTTTGAATTTTCTAACCTTTTATGAGCCACTGCATATATTCTACATTAGCAAAAAAAAAAAAAAAACACAGCCCACCACTAGACAATAATGTTCATAATATAATGTTCTAGTTTCAATTTGATTACAATTTGCATACAGAGTCTGAAACATCTGAAAATGTATTAGTTTTCAGACCAACTAATGAACTATCACTGCATTTCTTAATGGATACAATGCAGTTTTAAACAAACCGTAGTTAGGGTCTTTGTGTCTTTTACATCAATTATTCATTAACCAGTTACAAACTAAACCAAAAATAACCTGCTTGTTTCTGTTGAAAACCAAACGCTACAGGCAAAATGAAGAAAAGAGATGATGAAAAGTACAGAGAGGAAAGAGGATCTGTGGGCTGGCATCACTGAGATGACAGATGTTGTAAGCAAAGCCACTTAGGAAGAAATATGATGAGGTTCCTCTACTGCAGAAGAAAGCAATTAGTAGACAGTTAATGTGTATGTGTGTGAGCTGGCAACAGCTACAGTAAACACACAATAGCTCCTGCAAGAACAGACACACACACACAAACACAGCGTGCACACACTCGGACTTCCAAGACTGATTTCTACATGTTCACAATCAAAGCAGCAGCAAAGCAGAGGCAGAGTTTCAAATCAAAAGCTTTCATCAGAAATTCTCTTTTCTTCTTACCCTCCTCTACACTAATGCTACAAACCACCACCTCCACCACCACCATCATCATCATCATCATCATCATCCTTCCCACTCTCCACCTCATCATGATGTTTGTGTCTAAAGAATTATACTAAACGTCCACGCTTTGTTGCCTGAGAGAACAAACGCTGTAGGGGTGTAAGAAAATGTCGATATTTTGTTTCATAATCGTATTGATATACTAAAGCACTGTACTGTATCATTGTGGCTACAGTACTGCAGTATATCGCCAAAAATCATATCGTTACCCGTATATCGGATCACCATATTCTTGCTAATACACAGCCCTTATAATTTGCAGATTCAATAAGTGATTTTAGATCCAGCTTTCCCCACACGTTCAACTCATCATCCTGTTGGATTTGAGAAAGGCTCTATCAGCACAGTTGATACCAGACAGTTAAGTCAACAGGCAGTTATCACATTAACTGCTGATTTGTTTTGGATGCGCTGCTGGATTAAATGTGACAACATCAGTTTATATAGAACGAATCAGAACAGACATTCAGGAAGCAGAGCCATAAGAAGCTCTGCATCATTATATATGATATCAAGGCAGAAAGTGGTAAGAATTGGTTTTTAAATGTGAAGCTAAACTAAAGTTACAGACAGAGTGGAGGTTTTTTTTTAAGGTGCAGCCTCGAAATGTGTCTAAAAAAGATCAAATTAATTGTTTGTAATTTTTGAAAGAGACTCAATTTAAAAAATCATGCACGTTGTTCTTTAGGCAGTCATGAATAATGAACTGATTCTGTAGCACTTTGAGTTTTTAAGAAATATAAGGTGCCTTAGAAATAAAATATATTATTATTACTATTATTATTATTATTATTAACTAGAGAGTACTGTATTAAAATCATACATATGAGCCTGCAGTAATAGTACTGTACAAAGTAGTACACAGAGGGATGCGATACAGCGGAGTCCGGCGCCCAGTCTGACCAACAGACGGGACAGTGGTTTAATGCATTTAAAGATATCTGAGCCAACCTGGCACATAACAACAAATGCAAAACAGAGAGAGCTGACACGCATTTACACACAACATCCAAACAACACACTTTGATGTGCAGCATGTGCATAGAGAGAGTGCTGCCCAAGGGAGCGTAGGAGAAAAAAAACAGCCTCAGAGCAAGTTTCTGTGTCAGGCACCTACACCCACGTTGAAGCTGAACGCAGGAAAATCATAGACAGAATATGAGGAAGAGACTCGGTTGCAGGCTGAAAAAGCCCTCGAAAAAAGTCCATAAGTGCTTTGCTGTTTTCATAAAAATAAATACCATATATTATTGTTTTCTTTCTTCCTGTATCAATGGAATCTCATCTGGAATTACAATTATGCCGTAAAAAACCTGGGTTTAAGATTTAGATCACAGAAATGCATACAATAATGGTTTCCACATTTTTTTGCAACCTCTAATATTTACAATTCCAAAACATTCACACTGAATCTCCTGCAAAAAAACAAACAAACAAACCCTATTCTTACAGAACAACAACAATGACATTACCAACCAGTTTGATTTCCAAACTGTTGCAACTTTTAAATTACTTTCTGTAATGAAATGAATATATTAATATCAATATATTTACACAAATTATCAACACAAATGTGCTTGGAACAGTTGTGTTCTCTGTCCTCGTAAGTAGCTTAGCATTTTTGCAATACATTGAAATATATAAATCGAACAATAAATTAATTTAAGTGTTTTTTAAAGGAATTCATACACGCACGTAAACAGCGTTTCTTTACCGGTGTTTTCAGTTACTTTCTAAGCAACAGTCACGAAGGTTCAGTGATGCCTTTTTTTTGTTTACGCTGTGTAAAAGTTGACAGTTGGAAAACCACAGAAGTCAGGAGAGAGGATTCAACTGAATGATTCTGACAAGCCTAGGTGTGTTTTTATATTTCGCGCTGATTTGTGTTCGCTGTTGTGCGATGCACCAACATAATTTGTTTTGTTTTTTATATACAAACGTCACGAGTCACAGGTTTGAACCGAAAACCAGGATTGTGTGTTGTCATTTTTAGGAGAAAAGAGAATCTTTCTTACCTCTGGTGACGGACCGATGTTTTCACCGTACCATTTCTGCAACCTGTGTGAGAGAGAACTGAAGGAACAGAAGCTTCTCTGCCTGAGCTCACGTTCAACTGAGGCTCCAGACAGGGGCGTACAAACACATTACAGCGTCAGGGGCCTCAGTGGACCCCCCCCCAGAACAGAATAGAAGTGAATGGAATATGATAGACTTGAATAAGAATAAAAATAGAAACAAATTCTAGTAATAGTATTAGTCAACCAAATTGTGCCTTATCTTATTCATGACCAAAAAGACAAATCTGATCAATTTGAACGCTAACTTAAAACAAAAACATTAACCCCAAAAGTCTCTCCCTAAGTGGAAACCAGCAAATAATTAGTAATAGTTAAATTAATAATGAAGATGCTCTTTTTTAACCTCAGTCTGATACTAAATCATGTTACTAGTTAATCTAACTCTGGATGTTTGGTATGTTCTCCAACCCACTTTCAGTCAAATTTGTAGCTACATCGTCAGAGTTAATTCATCAGCATTTTGGTAAATCAATTATTCTGTAAACTGGTCAAATGTTTCGACTCCATCTTTTTCCTTTATCTCTGTCTCTAATCCCTCAATACAAGACTTTGACTTGAACCTGATGCCTTCTTACAGTTCCCCTCTCCTCTCCAGGCTGCTTCCTCTCTCCCTTCACCCATCATCATCTGGTTTTCTAAGGTGGAGGGCGGCTGTGGTCCACAGGGCAGTGCAGGCCTGTGGACAATTGGGAGACACGTGGGTGAGGCAGCTGGACCTGTTATCAATCACAATGACCGTGCACCAGGCACCAGCGCTGGTCTAATTGGCTCACACCGTACATCACAAGCTGACTGGTTCTTAAAGGAAGTCGACATCAGATTGAGAAAAAGAAAATAGAAGTGCTTTATTTATTCATCTCCGAGCGGGAAAAAGGTTACAAAGTGAGTAAAAGTGCTTTGTGAGGTAAAGCTTGCAGTGTTTGTTTCTTTGAATACACTAATGAAAGAACGGTAACAGAGCAGTCATGTGACTGAGCACATGTTCTTCCTGTTCAAAAAACAGTGGTGTAACAAAATAGACAAGGTCTGTTAAAAGTGGTCGCCGTGTCTGCTCAGCGTCGTCAGCTTCAGTCCAACATCAGAGTGACATCTTTCCCATCAGCATGGTCTGCAGCTGCTTAATCTTGCTTTTCTGAGGGAGTGCCAGGCTCTTGTCTGCACTCTGCTCCTCCTCCTCCTCCTCCAGCAGCTGCTCGATGTAGCAAGAGGAGCCCAGCAAGATGTGGCCAGTGGCCTGCATGGAGAAGAGAGTCCACCTGAGAGCCTCCCTGGAAGCAGAACATGATCAGGATATTAAAGTAAAGGTTTGGTTGACATTTAAGAGAAATGGTCCTGAATAGGATTTCCAACTCCGATATCAACAAATACCAATATACGCCTGGTAATATTTACTTATTTATCAGTACAAACCACCTATGAGTCTGAGTATAATTAAATGAGCTGCAATACTGCCGTCTAGTGTCTTTCCCTTTAATATACAAAACTATCCCCAATACTATTTTTAGGACACAAATCCTGGCATTACATTATCGAGTTTTCATTATCGGAGGAAAAACTGATAATGATTTCGTACAGATATTACATAATATGCTAATATCGGGTGATAATATCGGTCGGCCCCATGAGTGGGTCCTTTGTGTATTTTTCAGGACTGTTTTGGAAATGTGTTCTGAATTTGAACGGCCATGTCACTCACCTTAACATGCTTTTGGCAGCGTAGCAGCGCATGTCGTAGGACACGGAATAAACGCCGTACAGGGTGGCCTTTATGTTCAAGCAGCCGATGAAATCCTTGGGGTTGTTCTTATAGAGGTCAAAGGTCACCTTGGCCACATCTGTTCGTTGCAGCAAGCTGTGATCGCAGACATGACCTCTCGGTGGACTGTTCTGTAGGGATGTAGAAGAGACAAACATATGTCAGGATGAATAGGCGCTGGTGGAATTTCGTGACCAACAGCAGCACGTGGCTCCGGCAGGAGCACGACAACTTCCTCTCAAAGAGAAAGTATATATATATATATATATATATATATATCATATACAGACAGGGCTAGTTTAGAATATCCGAGGGCATTACCATATACAGACAAGGCTAGTTTAGAATATCCGAGGGCATTACATTTCCTCAAAAAGTCAGAAACAGTAAATCTGTATCTATTAATATCCACAGCTGCTGCGGTAAAGGCACTGGACATTTTAGTTATTTTTTATTCTCTGACAGAATGAATATGGACTCCATTCAGACCCTGGTTTTAACATATGTCCCATATGATCCCCTGCAGGTTGGACTGTATAGTCTTTCCTAAGTGTGCAGAAATGAAACCTGAATGGAAGTAAATCTTGTCATTTGGCCTCATGAATCTACCATCGTTCCAGCCTAAAGATTGGAAACGCTGCATGAAAACCTGACTGTTGCATTTTGGTAGATGATTTATATTAGCAGGTAGTTATGGATCAATTATTAAAATGAAAGACTAGAACAAAGGAACAATAGTGCCACCCAGTGGTTAATGTGGAAAGCGACATACTAGATGTGGGGTCCATTTTTGCTCCTCGTCCAGAACCATTAGGACCGAGTTATCAGGCAGGGTCTGGAAGAACTCCTCCGTCTCCACATCTGTGCCGTCTTCATCCAGCACCAACACGCTGACATGAGGCACGTGCAGGGATTCACCTGCCTGAGAGAGAGGGGGAGGGAAGGAGAGATGGAGAGTCAAAAACACAGACAACTGCAGACATGACGTCAGTCATTGGCTCTGATTTTTGCATGAGGAAATTGCTGACACACAAGTGCACAGGAGCCCAGTGAACTTTGACCTGAATGAGTACGACATTTGAAGAAGTTCCACAGACAATCACTGTGTCATGGGTGAATCAGTGTTTCAAAGCTCTTATCGGGGCTGAGTAAGAATATTCTCCAGAGAACAACAGTGGCATTGATGAACTATGCAAAAGTTCATACAAACAATTATAACAGTATTAAGATTTCAGCTCAAAAGGTTGAATTTAGCTAGGAGTCAAATTAGCAAATTAGCATACAGCACCAAGTTTAAGGACTGGTTGCTAGGAATCTGCAGAGACAAATGCCAGCAAAGAAAGGTGAGATTGAGGCTTTTGAAGTTTTTGATTTTTATTGAATAAAATTGTACCTCATAACTATGTGGTGGCATTTTCAGGTTTGTCAAATAATGACATTTAATTATTGCTTCATGAAATTATTAGGGGCCCCTTATTCCGGATCAAGAGTTAAGCGATTTGCTTGGTCATGTGATCCACTTAGGTCACAGTTGGTTCTCAGAATGAGGATTACTACATCACCTGAATTGGTCTGTAGTCTCTGTCGGTCTCCTCTTACCTTGTTCATGAGGTCCTCTAGACTGTCGGCCATGATTCCCTTCTTCACACTGCGATCAGCGTTTGTGACTCTGAACGGCCTTCTTTGAAGAGCTTGTCGTGACAGGAGATGATGGGTCACGGAGGCACTGGCTAACACACTGGCAGTTATGCACGAGCATGTAAAAGACCAAAAAAAAAACTGTAAATCAAAAGACTAAACAAAGATGAACCCCCCCGCCCCCCAAAAAAATTGATGGGGTTTGTACTTGGAGAGAGAAGACGAGGTCAAAAGGCTGAAAGACTTCATGGCGTAGTCCATCTGAGAGCAGCTTCACCAGTGACTGAAAGAAGCAGTAAGTAGGTTTAGTAGCTGAACGTTGATCTACAGCATTAACAAAAAAAAATGCAAAGTGTATTTCTTGTAAAAAAACCAAAAAAAACCAAAAAACTCAATCATCCATAAAAAGCCTTTTGCTCCATGAACTACAACTATCACTACATTTTTCTAACAAAGACCACGTAGAAACACTACCTTTTTGTATGTTAACAAAAACCCTCGCGTTTCAGAAAGGTGTCGCTCGATCAGCTGTGGTCCTGACCTTCTGTGCTCACATCATTACTCTGCCCTCAGCTGTTTCTGTGTGTTGCCTCAGACGGTCGACTGCTAATGTGTGACAAAAGACACTTCACGCCTTTTGTCGTCGTCATCTGCTCACTGAACTTTGTGCCGATGACTGTTGAGCTCATGAGGGACCCTGCCAACGCCTTATCAGGCCGGGCTGCATGAACACACACACAGTGACGCTCCCCTGAGACAGTCCCAGATTTCAAAATTACCGACTGAGGAAACCTGTTGACCTTGACTTACCGTCGTATTCGCATGGTTTTGGAATTATGGTTTCACAGTTTGAAACTAACACTAACATAGTACAGAATCTATGCTGATGTTTACTGCATGGTTTAAATTCTGTGGTCAAATTCTGTGCGTGTATAACATGAAAAATACCAAAGAAATTGTTGTGTTCAGAAGATTATAGTAATTATAGATTATAAGCCAGAATCGTTTTTTAAGAACATTGTAAGACTAGACAGAGACGCATTTCTGATGGAATTCACTTGTAGGACCATGAAATTAGAAAATGTTTTTTGACACCAAACCCAAAATTCTCACCTTAGTTTTATTTTAAACAGCCACCGATAAATTAATTTGAATTATAAAAGCAAACCAGAGCGTACTCCGCTAATTAAAGTAAATTGCGTAAAATCCTTGCCAATAACCCGTCGTTACAACGAGACCCTCGACATACTTTACACATTAAAACATAATTTAAACTATCCACGTGACTCAAGCTCTTTGTATGTTTGTTTGACGAGATGTCCTTCACAATAAAAACGTTTTTAAGCAGGAGCAGTCGGAAAAACAGAGTAGTAATTAATTCAGACTTACTTTTACTCCGTCTCTCTGGAACACAGTTCTCTTTAATCCTCCTTTGTGTTGATTAACAACACCTGCAGCACAATGGTTGACAAAAGTAGAGCGGTGTTTGCGGCTGACTTCTTTCTTCGTATGTTTAAACGCTCGTCTTCCTCGATACCATCCAAACACAGTCTTTGTTTCATGAATTTTAAATAGAATCGATAAGTGTCCGTCTTCGAATAATTCCAATACAGTTTAAATTGAGTGACACGTGAAGTAAATGCACAGTGCCGCCATCTGGTGGACCTTCACTGACTCTTCCGTTTGTCCTCTGTTCCTACAAAACGACGTTGGTGTAACTAACACACCTGTCAGCTGGGACTAACGTATCGATGCTTTGACATATTTTATCCTCATTTGAACATCCATAAACATCCGTCAAAAGAGCGCCCTTCGCTGCCGAAACCCGGGATTGAACCAGGGACCTTCAGATCTTCAGTCTGACGCTCTCCCAACTGAGCTATTTCGGCTACGTCATATGTAACACACTGAAGCTACTAGAATGTTACGTATATGTGTTACAATTTCGAGATACCAAACGCGCATGTAACACACTGAAGCTACTAGATTGCTGAATATTACGTATACGTGTTACAATTTCGAGATACCAAACGCGTTTAGTTTCATCGTTATTTTTAGCAACGATAAAAGAATAAAATGCCTGTGAAAAACTATGAGCTATGAGATTAGAGAAGTACAGGATACACGCAGTGGTTAAACGTGGAACTGACAGTAGTACTGCAGTAATTACAGGATACTTCAATTAGTTGGAAACCGGGATTATATATACAATATGCAATAAACTGAAACTGAAATGTCAGAAATAGTACCCAGAATTCCGCTGGCTCAGGCATGACCCTTCGATAGCTCAGTTGGTAGAGCGGAGGACTGTAGGCACTTCCTGACTGACATCCTTAGGTCGCTGGTTCAAATCCGGCTCGAAGGAGATCTAATTTTTCCATCGTCGAATTATTCTCTATAGAACTTCCCCCCTTCGAAAGATTGACTCGAATGTCGAACACATCCAGTTCATCAGATAACCAGCTGTTACTGACTACTGTGTTAATGGGCAAGTTAACATGTTTTATTTTTTTGTTTTTTTCAGTAAGAGCCTCAATTTTCGCAAAAGAACAACAGTATGTACAAAGCCACTATTTGTGTACGAATTTCATGGTCCTCAGTGTTCACCACCTTACATGCTACGGGGGATATCACATTAGCTTGCCAATAAAATTAGCAAAGTGTAAAGTTGAGTGTTCTTGCCCAGTGCAGGAGCACAAACGAATGGCGTCAGAGATATAACCCTCACGTGGAACAGATAAGACATGCGCTCCACCAAGCATCCGAACTTATCAAGTGCTACGTGAACAAAGGTGCAAAGAAAGGCCACGTTTCTGCTGCGGAGGTCAATTTCCTGTTTTAGCTTTTGTCCTGTTATCGTACCTCATGGCTCAGTGCGGCTGACGCGGCCTCATCAGGCTAGGCACATCCAATTTGTTCTTTATGGGTTTACTGATGCACATAATTATGTTTGTAATCATTGCAGAGAGAAAAGAATTTTGACCTGACGCCAACAAAAGATATACAGGGTGAGATTTTATTTTAATTAAAATGACACTGAGATAGACGAATCAGATTTCAAAATCTGATCTCAGTTAGACATCTGTAGAACAATATGTGAGACAAAAGTTTATTGTTGGACGCCTGTTTGACATTGTTTGAAGGCGTTGTTTGTGTTTTACCCACTTCTTTTGTTTTCATAGTTAGTTCAAAGTAATAAACCAAATAGTCTATTCTGGAATAAAAGTTCCTTTAAACTAAAAGCCTCTGAAGCCGGACCAGTATCGGTCATGTACTTTTCTCCAATATCTGTGTATTTTGACTTTATATTTATATTAATATTTAAGTACACAATTATTGACTTGAATACCCGAAAAACCTGAAATATCACTCCAATCAATTTCACCAGGTAGTGTGTTTATTCTAGTCAAAATATGACATCATTGGTTTAAAAAGTGTCACCATTTTTATTACACAATGTGTGAATCGAAAAGTTTGAAATATTCAGTCAAACTGAACAGTCCTGATGTTAATGTACAAATACTCAAAGTGTGTCAAATATAGTGAGTACATAAATACATCATAACAACACATAATCATGTCCTCCAGTGACATCACCTCTCTGCATACTTGTCATTTCCTGCCTATTCGTGCCATCAGCTCTGCGTTGGCTGCAGCCTTGGTCCTCATGTCCTGGTTCTTGGCCAGGTCTATGAGAACACTGAGGATGCTGGTGGGCACATCCAGAGACAGGGCAAAGCGAGAGCCCTGCTGAGCTCTCTTTGGGACCTGGGGGACTGGACGTTGGGTCCTGGCACGTCTGAGCACAGTGTGATGCTCCGAGCGCAGCAGCGAGTTCAACACACCGCTGCGGTTCAAGACGTCCACTGCCAGGACCTCCCTCTGTGTGTCCTCGTCCAGACTGTGGGAGGAACGCAGCAGGAGCAGCAGCAGAGCCAGGAGGAAACACACGTGAGCATTCCTCATGATCAGGTCGTGTCTGCAGCAGAGGGGAGGAACTTTATTAACAAGTGACTTTGGGATGCATAGAAGGATTAAATGAACTTCACTGATAACAAAATGGGAAATCACAGCAGCGTCAAATTAAGACAAAGGCATTAACAGCAGCAAAGTATATATACAATATATATATAGCAGCAATATATATATACAAAGTATATGTATATATATATATCCATACTCCAATAAAGTACATATATCTTCCAAGTGTAAAAATACAAGATGTGTATTACCTGATCAGTTTAATTATTTCCAATATTACATTATAATAATATAATAACAAAGTTGGTCATCATAAAGTTGAAATAATCCTGGAGTTTTTTAAGTTCATTTGTTTTTAACAAAACTATACCAGATGTGATGCTTAGTTCCCATGTGTTTAAATCTATGTTAAAATACAGTATATTATGGTGTATATTATATTAACCAATGATATGTGTAAAGATATGTATGTATTTATGTAATAAAACTGGAAATAAACCATTCATATATATACATATATTGTAAAAATATATATATACATATATACATATATATGTGTAATGCAATTAATTCACAGTTATTTTGGAATTGCTAGAATAACTTATTCTCTAATTTCAAACCACTAAGTATAAAGAACCCTGTCCGTACTCACTCAGTGTAACCACTTGTCGAAAAGGCACTTCTGCCACCTCCTCTGGATGCACGTCGCCTTGTCTTGGAGCCTCAGATGTCCCTCAGACGCTGAGTGAAGCTCAGATCCTTCCACTTTTTCCACTCGAGCTGCTGGAGGAGCGAGCAACCCGTGAACCACGCAGTCAGATGTTCAAGTGGACGTCAGCCCGGTCGTCCAGGATTTTTGTCCTCAGCCACATCAGCCTTGCTGTGTTTATCTATTTCCATCTTTACCCACTGATGCCCTCCCCTCATTTCATCTCATTTCCTCTGTACTTATTGTTATCTGTCTGTTTCTAAAAATACCTCCTACATGTTATCACCACCGTTTGCCTCTAATAAATCGGATTGTCACCCAATCATGGACTTCTAAGTGTGACTGTAACTTCCGATGAGAACTTAGTCAACCAAAAAATGTGGAAAACAGAATTGATCATGTCCTCCGCTGGTTGGTTTACCTTTTTTGAAAAGGCACAAATTCTTTAAATTTTTCTTAACATTATAAATGACATCAGTTCTAAAAAATAATAATAAGAAAGAAAAAAAAACTTAAATCAGTCATCAGTCCATGGTGCTGGTCTGGGTGAATTTAGGATAGTTTTAATTCTCACTTCAGAAGTGCAGTGACTCAGTGATTCTGATGACACCTGTAATTCTTAAATTCCCAATAAATGTCAATGCACAAGTGAGGTGAAGAACAGGTCAGTCGTCTACTGAATCACTGCAGTCCAACCAAAAGACTGTTGCTGACGATTAGCTCCTTAGTCTGATAAGAAGTTGTGAATATAATTAGTCCAGTTTAAACTGGCTGCCTGTCACTCCAAGGATTAACCTAAGAGTTATATGTCTGGTTTTAATGATGATAATGTCCTGAATTTAGAACGTTTAGTGGATCGAGGATTCAGCAGTATTTTGACACACCTCATTGGTTCAAGATGAGTTGATTTTTAAAGGAAATTGAATAATTACTTATGTATAATAATCATAATTCAATAGTCTCAGTTCAATGAATCTCGATAGTTTAGTTTCAAATTATTTATCTTCCTCGTTGCCCACGGTCTCCATTATGAAACCAAATTCATTCATATTAACCCTGTTTTATTGCAAAAATAGAACTCAAAATTATACATGCTATAAGTCTGTTTATAATGAAGCAGCATGAAAGCCGTTGAACAGTTGATTGGTTTTGGTAATTAAGGAGTAATTAGTCTGAGTGAAGAGCTAATATTCAGTGTTAAGAGACTTTCAGTGACGTCATCTGTCGTGTAGTAACATGACACTGACTATAAATGTTGTTGCCACGTTAAGTACACACAGCTTGTCCTACTATTTACAGGGCAGAGGAGGAGATCAGGAGGAAAGGGCGGGAGTCATCGAGGGATGGAGAGAGGAGCAATTGATGTAAAAGCCCTCTAGAGGTGAAGGAGTAGGAAGGAGCTGTCAGGCTCGGTGACGCAGAGCCTACCTCGTTTCCTGAATCAGCTGCACTCCAGCCCATCACTGGATTATTTCTCATCTGACTAATGATATGAATATTATTGGTCGAGCCACATTATGACTGCTGGGCCCCTGAGGGCCCTCAGCATCGGAGGCGGTCTCAGTTACCCTCAGATAAACAAACAGGGGTCACAGAAAAGTCAAAGTACAGCAAACACAGATGTGCCGGGTTGTTCATGTAACACAGGAGAGAACATGACCGTGAGCTGTGACATCATCGTGGGACTTTGAAACACAGCAGCAGATTCCACTTCGATCACTGACGTAAGTCAAGTTGTTTTCATTTTTTGACTATTCTTAACTTCACGTTCAAATCCATTTCTTGTGTCAATTTCTGCTGTAGGGTGTGGGCTTAAAGTCTGCGCCGTTATATGTAAAAGCAGCACTTTAATTTCTTAAGTGCTTCTATAATGGGTTGATTTTTTAAATCCATGCAACGTCATTTAAAGGAGTGTCAAACAATGTGCAAAGTTCCAACCCATGTTTAATTTATGAATATAAAATCTAAATGAGAACTGATTGGAGAAAGGCACACGTCCTAAAAGGGCATTTTCCTTTGTCTTTTTTAGTTCTGGATTTGTACTGTGTTCGGCCCAAGATCCTGGTCTCTAGTTGACTTTAATTCTACAGTATTAGACTTAAATAATTCTATAGTTTTAGGACTAAGTAACATCTAAATATTACAAACAAAATAAAACAGAAAACCAGTGTTATAGGAGTTCTTTATTTTGATGGAATGGGAGTTTCTGTTATGTACAATAGAGGGCAGAAACAAATGTTACAGAATTTATAAATATACCCAAGTTGAACTCAACACCAGCTGCACTGTGTCCTGTAAAATACTTGATATCGTAGTACAACCTGACCACCTGCCTCCCAGTCGAGGGTCAGAGCGAAATCAGGAAAGCTGCTGCTCTCATGACGAACTCAGAGGACGAGCTGGGAGGAATGTTGATGGACGGCTGTTGTTGTTGTTGTCAAGCAAAATATGGAGAATCCGTACGTGTGTATTCTGGCAGTCGTGACAGGCGGACATCAGTTTCAGGGAGACGATGCACAGCAGACGTGGGAAACAAGAAGAAACCAAGCGACGCACGCATCTTAAAACCTGAGCCAGTACATGGCACTGCGCACTCTGTTGTAGTCGGGCAGCTGCTCAACAGGACCTGGAGGAAACAAGCCACAGTGGTTAGAAAACATTCAACAGTCAAATATACAATTTAACAGAATGAAAAAAAAAAACCCCAATAGCAGAACTCACCGACAGCTGCTACGGCCGGACACTTGTCGTAGATATATTTAGAGCAGACAAAACGAATGGTCTCGGGGGTCACAGCCTGAAAATAAATAAAAAGACCAATGTGTTTTAGCCAAGTCTGAAACCTGCAGAAATTGCAGACAAATATTTAGTGCATGTTTGAAAGACCCTGAGCTTATCTGCTAGGGCAGTGGTGCCCATTATGGGGATGGAGGGGCAGAGGTATTGGTGGGGTGCAGCAAGAGAAAGTAATTTCATTTTCTATACTTTTTAATATGCAACTGTATCTTCAACAATAAGCGTTTGAACTTTTTTGCCCTTTGACTAGTCTATGAGGAGCTACCTTAAATTAAAAATGTTAAATATATACTCATTTATCTGAACTGAAAATACTTAAATTTAAGTTTGTTTTTTTATTGACTACATTTACCCTCAAGACACAGTATGTGTACCTTAGCTCAGGTGATGGAAGGATTGCTCACGAGTTGCCATATCTGTTCTACCTTAACGATCTTCCTACACATCACAACCTTCTTATTGGGAACCTCTGCTCAATACGATACTATTAACTCACATCAATTAGAGACTCCCACTCTGCTAGGGGAATACGACGATCGTAGGCCAGGATGTGTCTGCCAATTTCGTCGCAGGTTGGTGTGGTTCCTAACAAAAACAAAAACAGGTACTTTATCAAGCAGCATTTCTATAGTTTTTGTACTGTATTTGCATTGATGTGAATATTAATAAGAGTCTTCATTAATAAATACCATTGAGCTGTCCAATCAGACTGGCCCTCAGAGCATTCTTGCCTCTGGTTACATCGCTCTCTGTCACTGTGGTGCACAGGTTCATCCTGTAGGAGGCGTAGAGCAGAAGAAAGGTGTTCCCATAACCAGTATAAAATATTACATTTTGTGTTCAGAGCTCCCTGTGAGTAGAGCAAGCAGTGAATACTGACCAGGCGTTCTGAGACCAGTGCATCATGTCTTCGATGTTGTGTTTGTCAGCGACAAAGTAAATGCCAAACAGACCAGTGTCACTGTAGGCAGAGTGGAACGCCTGGAAGCTGTGACACAGTTTGTGTTCCACAGCCAGTTGAGCCAGACGGCTGCTCAGGTGCTGGAGGTGAGAGAAGGAGCAAATACAGATAATTTAAATCTGTCAATGTCACATTCAGACTAATCACATCTAGATAATCGATCGTTCTTTAAGGGAAGTTTACTAAGTAGACAAAAAGTTATTTTGAACAAATGTTAAAACATAAAACAAATAAATGAAATAAATGACCCCACGAATGAAGCCAATAATTTGTTCCTCTGTATTGGTCCGGAGCCAGAAATGTAGATCCTGACTCAGGTCTCTTGAGAGGACCATTGTTTACCCCTTCATAATGGCCACTTAAGACACAAAACACCTCAAGTGGGCAAAGCTAAAAGGGGACAGAGGTGCACTGCCTTCACGTTTCATCATTGCCGTTCATTTGGAGGTGCTTTAGGATAACAGTACTGCCTTAGGAACTAACCTTTCCACCACCGTAGGTCAGATCGTAGCTACCAATAATAGCGTTTGCCACCATGAGAGGGACCATGTCTGGGCTGGAGATGCTGGCTCCTTCCACAGCGATGGCAACGTGCGCCAGAGGTAAATTGTCATCACGCATACGGATCTGAGGAGGATCAAGCAAGAACTTAACACTGACTGCTCAGAACTGTGTATGTGAAATTAGTTAGGTGTTCCGAATACTTAGGTAATGAGTTCAATTCACACAGTAAATGATGTTGCATGGTCAATGTTAGAATAATGGTCGTATGCTTATTTTTGGACACAAGTATATCATTAAAAAAACAACTCATGGATCACCACGTGAAAGCAATCCAACAACACTGATAAAATGTGAACAATGACAAATCTCACCTCACTGCCAGTGAATCTGCAGGGAGACAACGCAGGGATGGCATCATCTGGGTATTCATAGGGCATGGAGCTGAAGTGAGTGTTTGCCACATTGACCAGCTCCTCATGGTTCACACCTGTTGAGGAGCAACATCAGATAAAAGCAGAGTCCTTCACACCATCTAGGGCTAAACAGAATGACAACACCTTCCTAGGACACAACACTCTCTGTAACCTAGCAACATGAAACCTACAGTGCATCACTTGTGTGTCTATAGGTTTCCTATACTGCAGAAATGCAGTATTGTAGAGAATGACAAATACAAGTACTGAAAACAAATATTTATAAATTTATAAATATAAAATGTTTTAAATTTCTTGGTTTCAAACTGAGGCCAAAATTAATCCATAATTCATTAGCTCTTTTCCAAGTTACTGTTCCTCCCAACAGGTCCAGAGTCAGAGGTAAGACCCCTGGCACAGGTTTTTAGAGAGGTTATTAATCTACCCCTTCATAACGGCCACTCAAGACACTAAGAACCTCAAGTGGGCAAAGCTTAAAGGGGCGAGAGCATTACCTGTTACAGCAACAAATCTCAACTGTTTTACTATAAGAAGTTCAGGGTTTGCGATTTGTCTGAACATAGGGTCTTTAGCGTCTATTATAAGAATGGTTCCACTCCTTTAATGTTCTATAGGAGGCATTAAATGCTGCATCATTAAATTCAGTTTATCAAACTTTGCATTAGGAGGAAGACGACCAACCTCCGGCGGCAGCCAGCACCATGCGAGGGGCCCTGAAGTGGCAGTTGATGTACTCAACCAGAGTCTGGCGGCTCAGAGTCCTAAAGAAAGACAAGCCTCATCATTTAAACAAATTAGCAGAATTAGACATTTTAATACAATGACTTGTGCAATGCTGCACAGCAACCTTGGTTTTAATTTAAATAAACTAAGCATGCTCTTTTCTCAGACCTGGCGTTGTCAGAAGGTCCTAAAACAGTGTGTCCCAGTGGGGTCCCCTGGAAGGCTGAGGCATGCAGCAGGTCCAGGCAGACTTCCTGCAGATTACCCTCAACTTCTTCAAGCTCACGCAGCACCACACTCCTCTGCTGCTCAATATCTGCCTCGCTAAGAGAGCAGTTCTGCACCACCTCTGACAGCAATTCCAGGGCTGAAAACAGAAAGGACAACTTATGGATGAATGGTGACGACGTTTTGCCTGTCCAAAGAGCAGAGTGGCTCAGAAATATCGTTTTATGAAACCTTCGGAATATTAGTACATGTCACCTTTTGGCATGTCTTTGGAAAGTGTCTTCATGTAATAAGCTGTGTGTTCCCGAGTTATGTAAGCGCTCAGGTGGGCTCCCATTGACTCCACCTCCTGCTCAAAGGCAGTTTGAGGGTACTTCTTTGTTCCCTAGAAAATATAAGACCACAAAGAAATGACTTGTTTTTTTAAAGACACGGTTTATCAAGTCCAGAATCGTAATAAAACTATGTTTGAGGTGAAACTATTTTATTGTCTTTTTATTTTATTCCTTTTGGCAGTGTTCACTTGAACATAAAGTGCTTTCTACACTGCAAAATAACACATTAAAAATTACATAAGAAGTGGGTCAGCTGCTGATGTTGGCTTACAATGTTTTCACCATAGAGTAAAAACAAAAGACTAACGTATTTTACCTTCAATTATTGTTAAGCCAGTAACTCCAACAGCAGCAGTTCATAAATCTTGCCATTCTGATTTTGGAAAGGACTACATAACTTGCAATGTGTCTGTGTTCAAATGGCTGGTCTTCTTATGAGAAAAGAGCAGGGTTTAAAAGCCATAAAGACCACCCCTAACCTTGAAAGCCATGTGCTCCATGAAGAAGCCTGCTCCATTGTTGGACTCGTTCTCATAACGACTGCCAACATTCATCCACAGCCCAACCTGTGACATGGAAAAGTGGAAAAAAAAAAAAAAAAAAAGAGAATACACTTTCATTCATTACAACATCAACAATGATGCCTGTTTATATGGCTGTAGTTCTGTGTTCTCACAGTGCATGTTGGCTGTCCAGTCTCCTCTGATGCAACTCTCAAACCATTTTCTAGGGTAGTGACGCGGGTTTCAGGGACACCTGCAAGACTTTGAGCATAGCTGATAGAGGCCTGCCCTCGCCTGAGAGACAGGAGAATGGGCTACAAAAAAAACAAAAAAACAACAGCAGTCATTAATGACTATGTCATTGCATCATTAATATTTTATTTCAGAATAAAAGACATATTGTCCCAAAGATGTGACGGTATGAATTAGTTACATTTTTACCTGAAATTAAGACTAATTTCAGCTGCAGCTGAGCGCTGGATGCTTACATCTAGGTAATGTAACTTAATTTCATAGGATTCAAACAAAATATACTCTTATTATCATTTTGGCCTTAACTTAGAGGGCTTTAGAGGTTTATTAATAATTTAGTCCAAGGGTCTAAAGACAGAGGAAGTTATTGTGTTGTCACTTTAAAGCCTGTTCGAGTTAAACGTTTTACTTAATTTGAACTATATAAAGTATTAAGGTGATGTTATTTCGTTTACAAGTACATCTACACTTCCTTTAGCTACCTGCGGGTCTAGGGACAATCAGCAGAAACAGAACATCAGATTTTCTCTGGGTCAGATGAGGACAAACACACACCAGCTACATAACTTACAAATACTGAAATCGCAGGGCGCTGATCTACAAAATAACAAACGCACGTTAAGTTAACGTGATGTTTAAGTGGTTGGTAGACAAGGCTCTATTGCATTTATTGGTGACCTTGTTGGATGTCTGGCTAACAGCTAACCGGTTAGCTTCTCTACGTTTCTGCACTGCGGAGGCTCAGTTTGTATTTTAAAAAACAAGTAAGTTAAACGCTAAACATGACATCTCGAATTTCAAGAATCGTTTTGTAAAAACTTGTTAAAACAATTATGTGCTTACATTGCGATATTTGGCGAGGGCTCGACCCACGGTACTCCCGAATCGGCTCAGGGACGACGCCATTTTCAGCGAGGTGAAAGTAGACAGGGCGGTGACTCTTCTTTAACGGTTTTCCAACAGCTGTTTTTCTTTTCGAGCTGTTAATA